GGGGCGCCGACCGCAGGCGAGGCTGCGGGGAGCGGCCGTGCGCGGAGGAGAGGTCCGGGCGCCGCGCCGGCCGCGGGCGCGCAGAGCTGCGAGGGCGCCGGCGCCGGGGAGGTCGCCGGCCGTGCGGACCGCACGCAGGTGGGCGCGCTCAGCCGGCTCCCGCTCACCTGTCGGGCTGGGCGGCCGGGCCGGGGAACGAAGGGAAGGAAGGAGGGAGGCGAGGAGACGCCGCCGTTCCCGCCGCAGCCGTCTGCCCGACTCTGGGGAGAGCCCGCCCGGGACTCCGGGACCTGCCTCCGCCCATGTGATCCCAGGGCCGCCCCTGCCGCCGCCCCTGGCCAGAGAGGCCGCCTCCTCCGCGCAGCTCAGCCCCGGCGCTGCCACCTGGCCCGCGCCCGCTAGGGGCCCGGGGCTACTCTCCCGAGAGCCCCCTAGAGGCTGCGGCCGTCCTCCCCGAGGTGTCCCCATCCTCTCGAGGTCAGGGGAGGTGACCTGGTGACGGGCCCGGAGTCCCACTTCGCAGACAGCTGAGCCTGCTGACCCCCGAAGCTCGCCCAAGCCGCCTGCGCCCCCCCTCCTTCAAAGGGGCCCTGAGCTCCCCCAACCCCAGTCCAGGGCCGGGGAGGGGGAGGGGGCGGGCAGGCTGGGGCTGTCTGCGGTCGGCCCGCCCGGCTCCTCCGCCCACTCGAGACTCCGAGGCTGGCGCAGATGCAGCCCCGACACCCATAAATCCCAACCCAGAGGCCACCCCTCCGCCTTCCTGCCTGGCCCGCGCGCTCGCGGGGCGGTGGCCGCGGACTGCTGCCGCGCTTTGGTTGCGCAGAGCTTCCCTGCTTGAGATGCGCTGTAAGCCTGTTCCACTCAGGGCGACATGCCAGGCCCAGGAAGAGATGAAGAGAGACTCCGGCTGGAAGTGACCAGGCCCCCTCCTGGGCTACACACGTCCCTTGCGGGCTGATGCCTGTTCCGTTCCTGGCTGCCCTCCCCTCACCCTTTCGGCTGCCCTGCCTGCGGCCGGCGGCTACCAACAACCACCAATGGCCCTGATCCCCCTTGCCCCCAGCCCTCTGCCAACCCCCTGGATCCCCGGCTCTAGGGATCAGGAGAGGACAGCCAAGGAGAGGCCCCAGGTGTCAACTCAGAGCCATCTGGCAAATGGTTCCCCCAGAGCCAAACCTGGCAACCCTCATCCTGGGGACCTCAGGGCCCACCAGAGCCGGCTTCTCCCATCTCCCTCTGGTCTCCACTTTACTCTCGGTCAGGCTGGCCTGTTTCCAGGGGAGGCCACCTGGAGGCACAGCTGTAACTTGCCTGCCTCAGGTGTGAGTCATTCCCTCCGAGTTCTGTCTGCAAGGTGTGCCCTCACCATCCCTCTCGCCTACCTATGCCCTGGACCAGCCTGCCTCCGATGCAGCTACGTCCCCTGTCCCTGGCCTCCCACACCCTCTGTCCTCGAGGTGTGTGTAAGCCACTCTCCCACTAAGAAGTTCCAGGCCTCCTGGTGTGGCCTCTTTGCATGATGCACCTGTTCTGCCTCCCCAACTAGACTGGAAGTCCCTGAGGGAACAGGAAGCTGCAGGTAGGGCAGGCACCACTGGCGGGGGTGGGGGTGGGGGGCTGCCTCAAATGCCAGGTCTGCCTCTTCCCAGCTGTGTGACCTCGGACAATTTCCTCGGCCCCTCTGGGTCTCAGTTTCCACTGTGTAAACTGGGGATGATGCACAGCTTACCCTCCCGTTGTACACACTGCCCTCCTTTTAAAGCTGCCCATTCCTCAGAGGGCAGGGTGGGTTTTTTTTGGTTTGTTGCTCCATTCCTGGAGTGTTCCATAATATTTTGTTGAAGGGATATTGTTTGAATGATCAAATGGATTAATTTCCCTTTCCTTGCCGCCCATCCCCATCCTGCCAGTTTGTAACAGGGACTCAGTTTTGCACCTCTTTCTGCTCAGACTTTGCCTTGGAGAGCCTCTAGAAAGATCTGCAGGTTCATCGGCAGGATTTCTGCTCGGTGGGTTGTGCAGTCACAAAACTCACAACAAAAAGTCAGCCGACCCAAGGGCATGTCCCTGTGGAACGGAAGGGCGTACTGTTCTGCCCTTAGCAACTCTGTGGCCAAGTGACTCACCTCACTGGGATGAGCATCCCCAGCGAGCTAAGGTCCCTTCTGGCTCTCATGCCCCCTCCGCCCCTCCCACCTCATGCCAAGTCAAAGCAGAGAAGGGGTCATGTACAGGCAGGGCATTGGGTTGATTTGCCGCAGAGGCTCCAGGGCCCCGCCAAAGAGAGCGTGTGGATTTGGTTTCTGCCCTAAGGAAAGGAAGGCTCAACCCTGAGGTCCTTTCTGAGGGCATCAGGCTACGTGAAGAAGCTGAGATGGGGCATCAGGGATGGGCTATAGCAGGTTCGTGAGGAACGGTCACTTCCATGGCATGGGCTGGGCCTGCCAACCTAGCCACAGACCATGGTGGGGACTGGGGTGGATGGAGAAGTGAAAGCAGGTCTTGTTCTTCAGCCTGCTGTTTAACCAGCAGTGGAGCCTGGGCCGCACCCAGGCACGAGGGGCCGGCCAGGGACCGGCCACAGCCCTGTCATTCACAGGTCTCTCCCACCTGTCCTGATAGAATTAGCCACCACCGCCTCTTTCCACCCACCTGGGGTGCGGGTGCCCTAGATGACAGGCCTAGATGACAGGATTGCCAGGAAGAATGTTAAGAGAGGCCCAGCCCGGGGCCGCCCCAGGGGCCTCACGCGTGACCTTTCTTCTCCGGGGCCTCTGGACAAGGACTGCGCGGGCATTTGGTAGACTGTGCAGAGAGGCAGC